GATGGCGTTCTTCACCCACGCTTCCTTCGAAAGCTTGCAGAGCGACCTCGAGCTTTCATGCTCGCGCTTACGCCGCCGCCGGTCAGGCCGCCGCTGCGCTTCACTCTATGTCTGTCCTCCAAGTGTTACAGAGCGATATTCTCCGTGAATGGGCCGAAGGCGGTAGAAAAACCCCCCCCGCCGTCACGGATTTGAGAAGTGCTACGGATCTCGCCCTTCGCGCCACTAAAGCCGCCGCACAAGCTCTGGGGAAATGCATGGCCAGCCTTTGTGTTGCTGAGAGACACTTATGGCTCACGCTCGCCGACATGGGAGATTCTAAGCGCGCCGCGTTTCTCAACGCGCCCCTCTCCCCGACGGGCCTGTTTGGATCTGCCGTCACGGGAATCGTCGATCGCTTTTCTGAAGTACAGAAAGCTACTCAGGCGATGAACTTGTTTCTACCCCGCCGCGCTAGCTCTTCAGCGGGCCGCTCTCACGAGCCCTCCGCCAGAGCCCCATCACAGCGCCCCCCTCCGCAGACTCAAACAGCTCAGCGCAGTCAGAGCGGCCGCCCTCGCCCTCGCTCTCGCTCTGACAGCCGCCGCAGACCGCCGCCCCCCCGTGGCCCGCGACCTAAGATCACGCTGAAGCCTGATCATCAGAAGTCTGCCTAACAATGTCAAGAAAACGACGGTGCTCTCCCGCTGCGGCCGGACCGCCGTCAAAGCTTCGCCCTCTGCCAGTCCCCGTTATTTCGCCGACTGCTGTAGTGTTGACCGCCACAAACAAGCCGGTGTCCCAGCCCGCTTGCGAGCGACAAAAAGCCGTTTTTACGGCTACCCAGAGAAATCTCAAAAAGAGAAATTTTGCCAGTTGTGTAGAAAATGTGCCCACAATCATGTGTTCACCCATACACACAAGCATAACAGATCCCGTGTCTCTATCAGAGCCCCATCACATGAAACGGGCACAGCCCGCTCTAATATCAGAGAACATAAACACGCCCACGAGCTCGTGCACGTGTCCCCTCTCTGCTCGCTCTGTGTCACGGCCCATAGACTCCTCTCTGAGTGCAAATCCCGTTGCCACACACATTCAAAGCGCGCCCACACACTGTGTCCAGCCCGCTATGTGCAGCAATCAGGGCAATACAGCCATTCGGCCACTAGCCGCATGCTCCAAAGCGTGGGAAGCCATTCCAGGCATTTCCCCGTGGGTGTTAAGCATTATAAAGAACGGCTACCTGCTACAGTTTCGCCGCCGCCCGCCTCGTGCGCGCGCGCAGCTCGAATCTTCTGTCAGCCCGCTGGCCGCCGGCACGCTCCGCTCAGAAATTACGACGCTGTTGCAAAAGGGCGCGATAGAGAGAGTCCCGCCATCTATGACCGAGTCGGGGTTTTACGGCCGTTATTTTCTGGTTCCCAAGAAAGACGGCGGCCTCAGACCGATCTTAGATCTCAGGTCTTTGAACAAAGCGCTCATGAAGAGACCGTTCAAGATGCTCACTACCAGGAAACTCCTCGCGCAGGTGCGCCAGGGGGACTGGTTCATATCTCTAGACCTGAAAGACGCCTATTTTCAGATCCAGATAAATCCCCGTCACAGGCCATTCTTACGTTTCGCCTTCGAGGGTCTTGTTTATCAATACGCCGTTCTCCCGTTCGGCTTATCTCTGGCGCCCCGTACATTCACGAAGTGCATGGATACGGCGCTCGCCCCCCTGCGAAGCCAGGGGCTGCGCATTCTGAATTATCTGGACGACTGGCTGATTTTGGCCCAATCACAGACGGAGCTTCTGTCGCACCGCGCAGTTCTCCTCGACCATTTGGAAACGCTGGGCCTCTCTGTCAACTGGACAAAGAGCTCCCTTCATCCCAGTCAATCGATTTCCTTCCTAGGAATAGATTTGGACTCGGTCACGATGACGGCTCGCCTGTCTACACAGCGCGCGCGCAGTGTTCAGCGTCTAGCCGCCTCGTTCCAGATGGGCACCCGCAGGCCTCTGAAAACTTTTCAGAGGATGCTGGGTTACATGGCCTCAGCCTCCGCTGTACTTCAGTTGGGCCTTCTGCACATGCGCCCGCTTCAGTTCTGGTTGAACAGCCGTGTACCCCACCGCGCGTGGAACACGGGCCGCCAGCTGATCAGGGTTACGCAAACGTGTCTCACGGCGCTGCAGCCATGGACAGTAGCAGAATGGTTTCGTCTAGGCGTCACGATGGGGACCTTTTCCTGCCGAAAAGTCATCTCGACAGATGCATCCAACACGGGTTGGGGTGCAGTCTGCGAGGGCTCACCGGCCTTCGGCCACTGGTCGATTCAGGAAAGCCCGTTACACATAAACTGTCTGGAAATGCTGGCGGTCGAGAACGCGCTCTCGCACTTTCTCCCGCGCTTCCAGGGACACCACGTCCTGATCCGTTCGGACAATATGGCCGTGGTCTCCTATCTCAACCGTCAGGGCGGTGTCAGATCCAGAAATCTCTGTCTACTGACGCACCGCATTCTAGTTTGGTCTCAGAGCCGCCTGCTCTCGCTCAGAGCGACGCACGTGCCGGGCCATCTGAACGACGGTCCAGACATACTGTCCAGGAACCTCATCTCCACAGGAGAATGGTCCCTGAACTCACAGACGGTCCAGTTACTGTGGCGACTATTCGGCAGAGCAGAAGTAGACCTCTTCGCGTCAGAAGAGAACGCTCACTGCCCAATATATTTCTCGAAGAGCGAGGACGCGCTAGCCCAGGAATGGCCTCGCCGCCCGCTCTATGCATTCCCTCCGATCGCTCTGTTACCACAGGTAATTCAGAGGATCAGGGACACACGCCACTCGGTGCTCCTCATAGCCCCGCGTTGGGAGAGTCAGAATTGGGTTCCGGAGCTCACGCAGCTGTCACAGACAGCCCCGTGGCCCATCCCAGTCAGAGCAGATCTCCTCTCTCAAGCTCGCGGCACGATCTGGCACCCCCATCCACAGCGCTGGGCGCTACATGCATGGGTGATCAACGACTATTCGTTGATTTGCCAGAGGGAGTAAGAAACACTATCATACAGGCTAGAGCACCTTCCACGAGAAGGCTCTATGCGTCTAAATGGTCTGTGTTCTCAAAATGGTGCACCGACAAACAGCTGGACCCACGGTCGTGCGAGGTGCCGTCTTTGCTTGTTTTCCTTCAAGAGATGCTGGACAAGGGCAGGTCCCCCTCCACTCTCAAGGTTTATGTGGCAGCCGTCGCGGCGTTCGCGGAACCCCGACGCGCTCAGTCATTGGGCAAAGACGAGTTAGTCATCCGCTTCCTCAGGGGAGCTAAGAGGATGAACCCTCCGCGGCCCCCGTCGGTTCCGGTTTGGGATCTTTCTATAGTCCTTGAAGCTATGAAAGCACCCCCGTTCGAACCGCTCGAGTCTGTGGATCTGAAATACCTCTCGCTCAAAACCGTTTTCCTGACGGCTCTGTCCTCAGTTAAACGCGTTGGGGATCTTCACGCGCTCTCATCCAGCGCCGCGTGTCTTGAGTTTGGACCGAATGATTCGATTGTCATTCTCAAACCTAGGCATGGCTATGTCCCGAAGGCGATTGGTACCCCGTTCAGGGCTCAGATTATCTCCCTATCGGCTCTGCCTTCATCCGATAGTGAGCGCGATGCCAATCTCCTTTGTCCGGTGCGGGCTCTGAGATTGTACACTACGCGCGCTGCCGCGTTCAGACGCGCTGAGCAGCTTTTCGTGTCGTTTGGGGGGCGCACCAAGGGTCTGGCCGCCTCAAAACAGACACTGTCTAGATGGATAGTGGACGCTATCGCCTCTGCTTACGCATCTAAATGCCTGCCCTGCCCTCTGGGCATCAGGGCGCACTCCACTAGAGGCATGGCCTCATCGTGGGCATGGTCCTGTGGAATTTCCGTTCATGACATTTGTGTGGCCGCGGGATGGGCCTCCCCGTCCACTTTTGTCAGGTTTTATAACTTGGAAGTTCCCGCCTTGCAGGCAAAATTACTAGCTGTCTGACGAACAGCTCTCTAAGAAGCTGCATTTCTGGAGGTCCCTCACAACCGGTTCGCCCCTTGTGCTCTCCTGTAATGCTTATACACTTCATGTGCCCGCTCTGCTGGCCCCATACATGCTTATGTGTACACTTCATGAGCCCGCTCTGCGGCCTCTTTGTACATTCACTCCACGTTAAAAAATTCCCCCGGTATATCCCTGGGTTTTTTCATGAGTGGATTCGTAGCGCGCACGGCGTTGGCCAGGTGTTCCCGCAGCGTAAGCTAGCTTACGCAATACGAGAGAACCTCTCGTAAGAGAACGAATCGGTTACCTAACGTAACCTCGGTTCTCTCTAGAAGAGGGAACGAGTATTGCGTTCCCGGCCGTTGCCTGCGCTACTAGCGTTTCGCTTCACGCTGAAATAAATCAACATATAAGCCTGGGAGAGCTCCTTATATACACCATGGCCACGCCCATTCTGGCGGGTCATGACGCAATGAGCGCGCGGGCGCCTCTCATTGGAAGCGGGTTCAGCCCCGCTCTCCCATAGGCTTAAGCAGTTCTCTCTGAGCGATCCAATGAGCTGCTAGCTAGCCCGCTCTAGGTCTGCCGCAGAGGAACTGCGTTGTGTATGGATACAAAATTATGAAATAATTTTTTGGCTTCAATATCTCAGCAAAGATGAATCTTTCCCGCAGCGTAAGCTAGCTTACGCAATACTCGTTCCCTCTTCTAGAGAGAACCGAGGTTACGTTAGGTAACCGATTCGTTTCTTCCGACGAAGAAAAAAAATATCGAACGTTTTATCGAACACATTTTTTATTGATATCGATCACGTGTCTATCGCGATACATATCGTTATCGTTTTATCGCCCAGCCCTATCGAGGGCCATAGCTTCTTTGTTTTCCTTCCATACGTGATGTTGGCGACCCAATGTTTTTCCTTGAGGAAATTGTGTTGTGAATGATTGTCTTGATTCATCTCAGTCCGGTTATTTGACACTTTTTCCCCTCTCGTTTTGCATCATCAGGAGCAGTTTGAGGCTTTGTTCCGTGCGTTTGATCCAGACACATCGTTCCAGTTCTTCAGGAGCTTCAGACGGGTTCGGATCAACTTCACCAATGCTTTAGCGGCAGCCGAGGCCCGAGTCAAACTCCACAAGAGTGACTTCAATGGAAAGGAGATGCGTCTGTATTTCGCTCAGGTAATAACCATGGTACAGGTACAGCGATGGCACGGTATAGAGTATTTCCATGTTTTTTTTTACTGTTGTCTAGGGGTTTCTTAATTTTAGAGTAGTTGACCAGCACACATTATATGCAATGCAATATTAATCATGAATAAAAGATGGTGTTGAGCAGTATTGAAACTTTGGATTTTCACTGTATATTGCAGTGAAATTTTGGATTTGGGTCGAATTAGAAAACTTTAGGAGTCAAAACTAGACATATGAAGATAGGCATGTGTTTGTGTGTGTCTTGCATTCTCAAAAAATAATCACCCCTCCAAAAAAAAAACGTGTCCCGTCCCACACTGATGGTACTCAAAAAATAATTTCAAGGTTGGCATGCCTGTTAATGGTTAGAAACGTGTTGCCGACCGTATAAACCTGCCACTCAATGGCGTGTTGGTTTTAAAAAATATTGAGAAGGTATTAAAAGGTATTGAATTTACCCTGAAACACCCATGTGATCTTGTTCCTAAATGACAACGATTCTCCTGTGTCTATTAAACCTATGACAAAATCACACCAGAACATTAAGGTCTGTGTTAGCGCTGATCCAGAGAGAGCCGTGTTCATGTAAAGGTTTAAAACAGCTTCACAAACAGTCTTTTCAACCACACACTATCATTATTAACAAGGTGTTACAGCAGCGACAGAAATCGAGACAACATGCATAACAAAAATAGACAATACAATCAATCAATAATCTCAATAATCTGAATATCTATTAATTACAAATAGATATGGTTTACCATACAACAACCTACTTAACATAGTAAATTCCCTTACCCACATACACACTCAATACCCAAAAACAATGCCACTCAACCCATAGTCCAAGCAAAAACATTCAATATATTATTTAAAACACGTTATTACGGTAATATGGACGAAAATATTAAAATAGTAATTATACTAAATAACTTCCATTCGTGCATCTACATACGCACACCATACAAACCCGTATACATCCCTATGCATACGTACATACCTTAATATACCCATATATACATGCACGCAAATACACACACTTCTATAAATGCATATACATACACCCTCACTATTCTGCACATACTTCAAATCAGGGTGTGGTTGTACAGCCTACAGTCTGTTTGCATTGCTGATCCTGATCCCACTTCCCCAGCTCAACAACAGCATAGAAAAGTACTGTCGCCACAACCGACTCATAAGGAACAGAGCGTTGTCTACGTTAGCGAGAAAAATAGAGCAAATCACCTTTTGAAAGTAGCTTGATGCTTTAAATGAAGATCAATTACATCGTTACACCAGTAGGTGGCGACAAGTGACTGTTAAAAATGTGTTTGTTATTGAATCATTCATTCAAGAGATTCGTTTAGAAATGCTGAATCATTCAGTAATGAAACAAGTGAAGTCTTTATGAGAGAGTCATTGAATCATTCACTACATTTTACATTTTGTATTTTTAATTAGATGGCAGCATTAAACATTGTGTCTGAACATCTAGTAAATTACATTGTTGTTTAGGTGTCTGTTCAGAATCGTGATCTATTTGAAAAAAAAAGAAAACACACAAAAAAACATGATTTTCTATTTATTCAGAGTTGTGCAACTCTATTGTATTACATGGTACTCCAAAGAGTAGCATGGCATTTTTTGTTTTGTGAGGTTTTTATTAATTATAAAGTCTTATGAACAAAGATTATCTTAGCTATTACCACATGGGTGAAAGTACAACTAAATATGTATGAATAATTCTTGCACAATTGCATTTGCAGAAAGCACAAACTTTATGCTCAAATTACCCTAAAATACAAAATAAAAGCCTATTTAGCGATATTAAAGATCTATTTCCAAACGCACAAACATACAATAACATTTGAAAAGCTATAATAACTGGAAACAGCTTGTAAAAACAAAACTATTAAATAAAATAAGATTTTTTTATATATATAAATGTTGGTTACTATTTACTAGTAACACAGACATCATGCTAATTATTAATTGTAATAATATTATAATAATAATGAATAATAATGGGTAAAAAATGTATTGCTTCCATTCAATAACAAGTGAGACCTCAATGGTATTTTGACCACTGGTTTCCATTTAACCCTTGTGTTATGTTGCGGGTCAATTTGACCCGTTTCGATTTTCAAGTTGTTGGAAATACTGGTTAACCTTTGTTTTTTTTCTTGATATTTTGTGACTTTTTCTCATTTATCATGATGAACATGCATGCAAAGTTTCAACATGCTGATCTGTTTTGACATATAAAGAAACAAAATTACTGTTACGTTTGTGATGTTCGCGGGTCAATTTGACCCTCATAGGCAGCCATTCAAAAGCAACTGTGCAGACACAAAATAAAAACATTTATTTTCTGTATGTAAGGACACTTCAACTCCAGTTCTAACGTGCAAGTGTATCTAAAAGTGCTCTAACCCTAACCAAACACACTTGAAATAGCTAAAATTACAGTGTTCAGAATTATTTGCAAATTACAGATGAAAATCTTTGTCAGACACAGATAGTAAAATAAGCTCTCATTTCAATATTCAAAATATCTAAAATACCTAGCTTTTACCCAAAACTTTTATGTAGGATTTTCAAAGGCAGCTTCACAGAGCCAAAAAATAAATGAAAAACATTTATTTGATGTATGATTTTGTTATGTTTGGTTTGTCACTTCCCAGTGAGTGAATAATGAAACTAGGAAAATAGGTTTTAGGAAACTAGGGAAAGGTAACTTAGGAAAATGAAAAATTTTCATTATCCAGCAATTTTTTTTGTTCAGTTACGATGTTCAAAGCATAAAATGTAAAAAAAAGGAAAAAAAAAAAAAGGAAAAAAAAATATGCTAAAAAAATCAGTATACTGTTTATTTTTCAATTTTGTCAAAACAAAACTGTTTTAAAAAATGTTTTAAAAACATTTTCATAACTCATATTTTCAGATATAATGTTTTTGTAATGTTTGACAAATGTTGATATTAAAAGTTTACAGTTTGTATCTAAATCTTTGTTGTTTTTCATAGTGTGATTTTTGAGGAATTGTATTGAATCCAATTAGGGTCAATTTGACCCGGTCCATAAGGGGAGTACACAGAAATCGAACAGAACACAAGGGTTAAAAAATCTGATCACCTTATGCAAATAGTACCGAATGCATAGAAACCGTAGACCGTGACCGTAGAAACACACAGGTCATGGGTTTGATTCTCACGAAATGCATGATCTGATAAAATGCAATGTAATTCGCTATGGAAAAATGCAAATATGTTTTAGCTTTCTCCTTTTCTTCCTCTTGTTCTCTTGGTTTTTTAACTGCTGCCATCAGGTAGATGTTAGAGAGCCATTACATCTCACACAACCAGATTTAAGAACAGGTTTTTCCCTAGAGCTGTGAACGCTCTAAATCAATCACGCAACTTACAATGCAACCAATCATCCGCATATCTGCTAATGCATCCTTTTTACATGCATATTATGACACATAACAGTGAACATTATTCTTTATTATAGTGCTGCTGCATTAATGTTTGTACTGTTTACCATCAGAATACACTGTTTTACTATGAACAGTGTTTACAGTCATGCACGTATCTATAATACTGATGTTGTTTTTAATGTACTCTCGCACTACCCCACTTTACAACAACACTATACTGTGGTTGCACTACTGTTATTGTTTTAATTATATGTATATTGCTTATTTTATTCTACTAGTTATTTATCATTACTTATTGTTTCATGCATCTTTTTTTTAGAGCTGTTAACTCCATTTCGTTGATGTGTACTACTGTATGCATACAATGACAATAAAAATTAAAGGGTCAAGCATTTAAGGCCTTTAAGCACATAAGCATTACGTTTTATTTAGCAAGCATTTAAGCACTGACATCATAGATGGAAAAGACCATTTACAGCCATTACAGGCAATTTACTAAAGGACATATATGATTTTCAAAGCTTTTTGATAGTTATAGCGCCACCTATGGTCCGATCTCCATGAAACTTCAGCAGAGAATTTCCCTAGACTGGTTTGGTTCCGATCGGGCGAAAAACCAGGGACTTGTTCGCAAAAGTAGGTTTTGGACAAAATTCAACATAGCAGAAAATTGTTGCTGCCTAAATCGAAATTGGAGATATACATTTTGTCCGTCTTGAGCCAAGGATCACAGGTCTAGGAGTTATGAGCAATTTAGTAGGCTTTTGGTTGCTGTAGCGCCACCTATGGGCCAATCAGGGTCATGTTCTGATAGGTTCTCCACAAATTGAGGCCTACCATCTGGCCAGGTTTCAAGTCTCCAGCACTTACGGTTTGGTCTGCACGATCAGTTTTACAAATCCTTACAATTAACACTTTGTGCTTGAACCCCTAATTTAAAAAAAAAAAATGTTGCTTTTATTTGGTTCATCTTAGGTCTGACAGAAAGTAACAATAACGTAAATATAGTAATATCAGAGATGCACCGATTACAATTTTCGGTAACACTGTATTTTAAGGTACTTGTAATAAGCAGTAATTAACAGTTAATAAGACACTTATAAGACCTTATAAGATGCATGTAAGATGCATATAAGCATTAACTACTTCATATAAGGGTTAATTAAAGGTCCAGGCCCTGAAGAGATCAGGGAAACTACTCCCTCTTGGGAAGGTAAATTAATTTTAAGGGACTGGGAGTTTGTTACCATTTATGTTTGTTCGGCTGTTCTAAAAGTGCAATGTATTGATACTTGAGAAATGTATTATTTAATTTAATTTATTTATTATAATTAGTTAATGCTTATATGCATCTTATATGCATATTATAAGGTCTTATAAGTGTCTTATTAACTGTTAATTACTGTTTATTACAAGAACCTTAAAATAAAGTGTTACCCAATTTTCTAGGCCGATTCCGATTTTTCAGAGTTTGACCTTCCGATTAAATTTTTTCTAACCACTTTACAGCACACACAAATATTTATTTTCTCTCTTTTCTTTTGTAGAACATTTTACATTTTGCATAGAACATTTTTGAACAGTAATCGCTATAAAATAGGACTATATAAATGACTCCTGGTGTGGGAAATTCACACACATCTAAAGTGCAGTGTTATGGAAGAACCATTTCCTTCTTTTCACATCCAATATCCAACTAAACAAATGTGTTCATTTCAAAAAGAAATTTTCTTTTCTTTTCTGACATATACTCCAGTTCTTGTTAAAAAACACACCAGAATTCTGTGCATTTTGGGCACTTTTGTGTGAAATCATATTTATTTTGTCCATCAAAAGTGTGCTTTCACTTTAATTGAGTGTGAGCAGCGCAGCAAAAATAGACTCTGCGCCGGCGCACGCGCTTCACCGCGGCTCCTGCTCCCGGTGTGAATGCACTCATTGATCAACATGACATCATGACTTTTGCGTAAACATCTATATTATCTATACGCATTTTGAGCTATCCGCGTGTATGTCCACGCCGAAACGAACCGTCATCTTTTGCGTGTATGTCTACGCCGTTAAAAGTCCGAGCGAAATGAAGCAAAATCTATATCTACATCTGGGGAGCGATATTTTTTTTCTAGGATGGTAGGGGAAGACACATAAATGGTATTAACCCCAGTGACGGGTAGGTTTAGGGACGGGGTAGGTCATATATTTATATATATATACAGTAATTTATGGCGTTGATAAACACGCTGAAAAGCGATTATGCGTGTTGATAGCACGCCAAAAATGGAAATACGAATTGGCGTGTCATACATACGCCATTTCATGAGATCAGTCTGCGTTGATTTACATGCACGCCGGAAATAATACGCGCTGCTCACGTTTGCGGTGTGAAACGGCCATAATTCACGAGGTTTACATGTGCGTTCCGTGTGCACGTGTGATGCTGATGTTGCGCGATGTTAATCATGCGGCGCCCGAGTGCATTTGACCGCCATAAAATCAACATATGTCAGACTGACCAGCCGGTCGCCGATCATGGCCGATCACGTGAAAATCGGCCAATTCCGGTCACCAGGCGATCAATCGGTGCATCTCTAAGTAATATAGTATAAATAATATAAATGCATATATACATACAACCATACATTCATTTAGATTAAGAAAAAGAAGAAAACAGCAGGCTTGTATAGACACACACACACACACACACACACACACACACAGAAATAAAATAAAATAGGAATTGTTCTTCTTGCAGTCGGTGCACATCGGCAGCCCTCGCCTCGAGCCTCCGAAACCCGAGAAGCAGTTCCTGATCTCCCCGCCAGCGTCGCCCCCTGTCGGCTGGGCTCAATCGCAGGACGCCATGCCCGTCCTCAACTACGACCTGCTGTGTGCCGTGTCTAAACTAGGACCAGGTATAACCCATTTACCTCTTTTCCATGCTATACTTTGAGACTGTATACCTTTTGAGCGGTGCACTATATTTATCAACAACATATGCGGCATATGCACTACCATTCAAGAAATTAATACTTGTATTCAGCAAGGATGCATTGAAGTGATCAAAAGAGAAAGTAAAGATATTTATAATGTTGCAAAAGATTCAATTTCAAATAAATCAGAGAATCCTGAAAATACAATATAGTTTTCACAAAAATATGAAGCAGCACAACTGTTTTCAACATTGATAACAATCAGAAATGTTTCCTGAGCATAAATCATCATATTAGAGTGATTTCTGAAGGATCATGTGACACTGAAGACTGGAGTAATGATGCTGAAAATTCAGCTTTGATCACAGGATATAAATTATATTTGACTATATATTCACATAGAAAACAGTGGTTTTACATTGGAATAATATTTCACTATATTTACTGTATTTTTGATCAAATAAATATGCACTGCCTTGGTGAGCAGAAGAGACTTCATTCAAAAACATGAAATAATCTATATTAAGTTGCTACAATTTTGCTAATCCACAATAATAAAAAATATTTTTGCTGTATTTTCTTAAATACGACCTGTTATGCCCTTTTACAAAGTCTTGATGTTGTTTCAGGCTCTAGAACAGGTTTTCCTGCTTGAATGTTTATTATTCTCCATTGTTGCGGCTCCTCTCTTCCCAGTCTGTCAGTAACGCTCTGTTTACTTCCTGTCTCTATGAAGCCCCTCCTTCTGAAAAGCACACTGTGCTCTGATTGGACGGCTGGAGCAGTGTGTTGTGATTGGTCGAGCGCTTCGAGTGTGTCCCGCCCCTTTCCATAACCGCCAGTTTAACACACTACTAACTAACTCAACCAGGCCCCGCCCCTTTATTCTGCGTATTAATTATTATAATGAGGAATATTGTGACGTGTTCGTTCCCGGGAGAAACTCAAGACTACAATGGAGGCGTTTCAGGAGTTCAGAAACACTGACACTGATATAGAGAATTACTCTAACACTAACACTAAAGAAGGATGAACATGTGAAAAACAGGACACCTTTAACATGACACTTGTGTTTTTAACATGTATTTGCAGGTGAGCAGTACGAGCTTCACACTGGAACCACCAACACACCCAGCGTCATCGTACACGTGTGTGAGGACGACAGCTCCGAGGACGAGGAGGAAACAGCAGAGACCGGCAAACGCGAGCGACCCAAGATCATCCAGACCCGTCGCCCAGACTATGTCCCGTCCGTTAACCAGTGAGCGGCCCGTTTCATCTTCACGACCAACACAGGAATAACTAGGAAACATGCAGTCATGCAGTTTGTCATCCTTACCACCGGGGACGGTGGCGAGCGTCAAATCCTCTTCCTAGTTAGCGAGGAAGTCGCCCATCCTCATAATGTCGCGTTTGATTTCTTAACATCCATCTCTGATGGAGTCAGGGACCTGGGAGAGGTTCTCTCGTCTTATGAATGTCATTATTTGCTTGACGTCACAACTGTGTATTTTAATAAACCGAGAGAAAAGCAACGGAGAAATGCGAGATGTGTAGCACAAGCAAACGTGTGTGAGGTGGTGTGCATCATCCGGGGCCACTAACATGTACTCGTCGCCATTATCATGTATCGTCTCTGCGTTTAGTAAGTTAAGCACTCGTACAGTCTTTGAAAAGTCATTATTATTGTTGCTGAAGTTCTTTGCGAGCTCCTCCAAGTATTATGCACTTTAAAAATAGAGCCTTATAATGTGGTAAACCGACAACAACATGAAGTACTTGTCTTTGTATGTGGAGCGCAACTGTGAACGCATACTTTTTTCCGCCTTGGTAAAGTGAGTATTTTTTCTCATTAATTTTCTCCATCAATCACACGATCTGATCTGAAGCCAAAAGGTATTTGAACGTTGGTAAAAAAAACTCTTGTATTAATCTGTGCACTTAAATTCTATTACGAGGGAATGAACTACTCTACCCATGAATCAGTGTGAATGTACGGAGAAGGAAGAAAATATGAGATGGGGGGGGGGGGGGATTTTATGTCAATGCTTCTGCGTTATCTCACAAATGTTGCGTTCACTCACAAATAACACAAAACAAATAAGTCTTCGAACGCAAAAAATATATATCTCATATTTTTTCCATCACAATGTTCCTTTAGGAGCTCCGTATGAATGACATAAATGCATCAAAATTAATAAAAATAAAAATAATCTATTTATACATGCTTCCTATGGTTTATAGTAATCATATTATTTTTTACTTTATTCATACATGCATGCAATTATTTAAAGTAAAATTAAATATTGACTATAAATCATTGGCTGCATGCATAAATAAAATAAAATAAAATATTGACTATAAATCATTGGCTGCATGCATAAATAAAATAAAATATTGATTATAAATAATTGGCTGCATGCATAAATAAAATAAAATACTGACTATAAATAATTGGCTGCATGCATAAATAAAATAATAATAAAATATTGACAATAAAAAGTAAAATAAGATATTAAATCATTGCCTGCATGCATAAATAAAATAGAATATTGACTATAAAAATAAAGTTAAAAAAATATATAAATCATTGGCTGCAAGTATAAATAAAATAAATGTATTAGATGATAATTTATATAAGTAAGTCATTTGCAGTGCATCATGGGAGTGGGCAGTTGGTTTGAACCAGTTTTGTTTTGATTCCCATTTTAATAATAACAGTGACTTCTCTGATTGGTGAATCTCTGTTCATCTAGAGCAGAATTCAGCTAATAAATTGAATGATTAAAAAAAGTGTAACCACTGATTTGTGGTTTTCTAGAAACATGTATGATAAAACCCCAGTGGAGAAAATGAATGTGATCTTTCTGTTGCGCTCTTCGACCCGCTCTGTTGTGCTCTACTGTCTTTGGAGATGTTGTCCTCTTTTCCATTACTGTAGGAGACGCTCTAATGTCATCCAGTGATTTTAAGCAACTATAACATACTGTGTATATTTGATGTGTTTGAATGTAGCCAATATCTTTAAAAAATAAAATAAAAAAAAAGCTTCAGGATTTCTATCAACAACAACATCAAAATCGTATTCATTACGTAGAAAGAATATGAAGGGAGGAGGCATTAACCTTTAATAAAACTATCTTGACCAAAGAACGGAATCTAATGTTTATTTCTATCATACGAACCAATCTGTGACACTCATACAGCAGATGATAGATGTTTAGATGTGTGTAAAGTCTTGCATTTGTCATATAGTCTTGCATTTGTCAAAGTCTAAAGACTCAAAAGGAAGTAAAAACCAATCAAATAAAGTATGCAAATACAACATACTGTAACTGTTGACTGAAAGAGTCGTCCGAATGGGATATTTAATAATTTCTCATTTCTATAAGCATAATGTTGAAATGAACCAAGCGATTCTCCTTTCGAGTCGCTCTGCATGATAA